CTAGAGTAGAAGTTTTATGGGAAGATATGGATGATATAACATGTTTTGATTCCTCTATTGATGATGAACTTGATTCTTATCTTAATCAAGGATTGGAAAGTATTAAAGACGAATAAGGCAACAAACAACTTTTGGCATGGTGGAGGGAGCGTAGCAAGACTTTTCCAACACTTTCAATAATGGCCCGAGATATCCTTGCTATTCAAGCATCATCAGTAGCATCAGAGAGTGCTTTTAGCGCGGCAAGATTTCAAATCGGAGAGACATTCATTAGCGGAGGACAGCTTAGAGATTTCCGTATTATTCAGAGATTTGATTAATTCAGAAAGAAGAAATCTTGGTTTTGAAAAATTAACCACTAGGGAAGAAGAAGAATACAATGAGATACTTNGGAAGAAGAAGAATATAATGAGATACTTAGCACTGGGAGCGATGACGGCATGGAACTCATGGAACATCAATCAACATTGCCAATTCCAGAACAATGTCCGAGAGAAATTATAGATAAGTTACAACGAAGTTATATAGGAGCTTACAAATATTAGTATGATAATTTGTAATTGGCTACTAAGAGGCCTAGTTCAAACAGAACCCTTCCTAGAAGGTGGCTGCGTAGATTATGTGCTCTTCAAAAGAATTATATTTGTATGTGAGATTTAAAAGTTCTATTAATAAAATAAAAGGCTCTAAGCGTTGAATTTTTTTTTATGAATTGCCTTACACTCTTACTTAGTTACTTAATGGCTTGAAATTATATTAAATAAATTATAACTCTATTATAAATTTATAATTACTAGAATATTTCATTACAAGTCTTTTGTTTTAATATTTTATAATTCTTTATTTAGTTTCCTAATTTCCGTTTAATTTTTAAATTTATTAAATAAGTCAAAAAACTAGCCGTTGCAAACTTTAAAAACTTAGTCATTGTCAAAAAAATAATCGTTGTCAAACTTAATGCTTAAATAATTTTTTTTTAAAAACGACACTTAAGGCCTGTGAACCTGTCCCGTCCTGTTTGTTAGTGGGACAAGATGGACCTAAATATATTCAATTTTCACGTAAGGGCGGAAAAACCTTGAAGCAAGGGGTTCAAATAAAACTCTTTGCTAAAAAAATTCACTTACTATACAATATACATACTAGATAGCCCGTGCGCATATCAAACAAAACCAAAAAGGAAGTAATACATCAAGCTAAATATTCACATAATATGATTCATACTATGTATATTCATTTGTGGGACAAAGTTGACTAACACAAGAGTTGATGCTACAGTTGGATAAAATTTGGATTCTAACAGCTGCAGTTGCAGATGGCATCCACCGGAAAAAAAACATTAGAATCAGAAGGTAGCATACCAAGCTAGATATATGATGATTAATGCCAAGCAAGAGAGAGATAAAGAAATGTTTTCTCAAGTCACATAAAATAATAAAGAAAAACCAATATTTCCCAATTTTCCTTTTCAAAATTTTCCGCTTTGGATATATCAGAATCACATACTGTACACGTCACACTTATATTAGGTGTTACTCATGATTTTGGTATCCCATTTATTTTTTTCTAACTTTCTTACATGTCCAAAGCTGCTTTAGTATTTGATTATTCTCTTCTAACATTTTATTACACCAATGATATTCTCGAATTTTAGATATTATTTTGAACTGTTCATTATATATTATAGTAATAATTGTGAAATAGTACACCACTGCAATGTAAGAAGAATTAGATCATCCAAACATGAATGGAGAAAATGACGAATAAACATTCTCAAAAAGTATATCCATATCTGCACATGCAGCGAACAGAGGGCTAAATTCGTCATAATTTATGATAAATAAATAATCCCCTAAGAGTTTCATTAGTTTTTCAATCTCTTGAAGCAAAATCAGAGCAGCATTTATCACTTATCACATGCCATTTACCCGTTAGATTAGACAATGATATATTTTTCTTCATTTCAAAACTCTTACCTTAAATTTAGTCATTTCCCTTTCATGTTCTCTCTTTTGTTGACCTCACAGGTTTGCAGGCAAACTTTACCTTAAAAATAGGCATCTCCCTTTTATGTTATCTCTTTGCTGATTCAATGATAATATGTATGTACCGCCATTGTTGTAGTCCCTTGCCAAGGAACTTCAACTAATTTGGCCGATTTAGCATTGCGCATCGCTAGACCTGCCTCACCACCAACTTGAACTGGAATTCCTCTGTTTTGCCTTTTTCTTCCCCATAAGCACCAAAGAGAGGAATATAGGTATTATAATCGCAATAACAACAGAGCCAGCAACCCCAGATGAGACCCCTGGTCATTGAATAAGGAGACATAACTATTGCTGGCCATTCTCTCCACTATATTCCGATTGTAATAACTTCCTTCAGAAGCTTCTGTTTTATATGCTATACGGTTCTACGCTTCCGCAATACTCTTCAATATAAAAAATTAAAATAAAAAGGAGATACATACGACATAATACACAAATCAGTACCACAGGTCATTGTCTACATGCAACTGTGAGCAATGCAAATGTAGCATTTCGGACGAAAAAGGCATTCTCCCATGAAATGAACCAATTAATGCAATTAGTATGGCATTATCTGCCCAAAGAAGATACATCAAATGAATAGCCAATGAGCTAAAACTACAAAAACTAACAAGTATTTGTGCATTATAAGTCAAGTTTCATAAGATAAGCATCGTGAATACTTTCAAATGCGTAAATGAGTAGACTAATGGTGTGAGATTTACAGTCATTATACAGATTCCTCAGCCTCATTAATTTAATCCCTTTTCATCTTTGAGGCTATGTTAGTTTTCAGAGACATAAAGGTACAAGGAGAGGATAAGTAAACTTCAACACACAGTACTAACTAAAATCTCAGATTACTTCAATTCAAATTTTATGATTAAATTCTTACTTCTAAATGAATTTGAACGCGTATTACGTAGTGAATCCTGATCTCTCATCAACATTGATGTACATGTCCTTAAAAATGTTTTTTGGATAGAGTAGTCCTTGTAGCCAACTGCAATTTAAAGATATTTGAACAGGAGGGTGATGCAAACACCATATAATCTTTTTCTAATATTAATCTCAACAGAATCTTTAATCTGTTTGACAGTATAATAGATGGTAGAAGAGGTGATAGTGAATATGTTGCGCTCTTCACGGTATTAGTTTTTACCATGTTTTATCTTTTTCTTTTTTCCTTTAATCAATAAAATGAAAATTTTATTCACAAAAAGATAGTATAACTAAGATGGAGTTATAAATTGTGCAACCAAATCAAAAGTATAGTTCCTCTTTATTCTGTAGGTACATTTTCATTTTACCCTGTGTATCTTATATAGAAATTAATCAGATATTACAACTTAGCAATCCAGGACTAACAATTAACCCAAAATACCACTTGAAAAAAATATCCAGAAACATGGTATTAATAAAACGGGAATACGAAATTGGACTTTGGCATAGTCAAGATGATTAACAGTTACGGCAGTGACGGTCTTGGCGGCCAAGCCACAACATTCTAATACACAATGTGATCTATGCAAATCGGTGAATAAGAACATGCATGTCCGAAATGGGGTGGATAAATATATGATAAATATGTTTACCCTTCAAATTGGATAACAATTAAACTTATAATGTGGTTTTAAGGATCCGTGATTTCACTTGATACCAATTGATAAATATGAAGATTAATAACATAAATGAATTATAAAGTAAAGTAAAGCAAACCAGTGTTAGAATGGAACTCAGCCCTCGAGTTTGGATACCTTCGAATTGGTTGATGCAAGAACTATTAAAATATAACAAGATGATGAACAACAGTATAAATGAGAAAGAGAATTATATTGCTTTGATATCTATGAACAATGTATCTTACAGATGATTAGAGCCTCTTAAATAGTAGAAGAATTTCACTTGTGGTATAATTCTAATTAAAGAAGGAAATCCATGATTAACTAATTAACCGTTTCTGATTTGATCCGTTTCGATATTTACGCCATGATCCTCGACCAGTCACGGATATCTCGCCTTTCTATTTTTGTGCTATCTTTGATCTTGCTCATGTCTGTTTCATTTGGCTTCGATCGCTAGTAGCCTCGATCTCGACAGGTAACTCGATTCTGAACTCGGTATCTTATCATCGTGATTTAGTCTTTTTCATTACGAGGCTATCCTTCGATGCAACCTCTAGGTCACCGGTCAAATAGTAAAATCGGGTAGGCCCGATTTTAACCGAATACAAAATAAAATATTTCCTAAGAACCCAAGAAGAAGTCAGTAAAAATGACTGTTGATGGGAAATTAAAATAACCATATAACAATTTAATAGTTTTCCCTAAATGTGAAAATTTTATTTCTTACCTCTCGGTATGAGGCTCCAATAGATCAGTATCAAGCAGCTTCTACGCAGTTCTCTTTGTGTATACCCCTTGAACTCCAAAAACCCATGTCTTTGGAACCTTTCAATTGTTTGGTCCATCTTTGAATTAGAGTTAGATTGATATCTAAAAACCTAATTTCAAACATTAGGTTTAAGAGTCAAACTTCACAATGAAAAATATAAAGAGCCACTTCAAGATTGTAAAGAAGTAACAACTAAACAAAGAACAAAGAAAAGGAGAGAGAACTAAAAATATGAGAAGCTGCTCTCAGATGGCAGAGAAAAGCCAAAAAATGTAAACCCACGTAGTTTTTGCAAATTACAATTTGACACGTTGTAATATGTACGAATGGAATGGAGGGAAAATCAGAATGTGCTCAGCATGAATGACAGAAATGCCCTTTGTCATCCAACTAAACTTTCACTTATATAACTTATGGCCCCGTGCACGGGCATTTGTGCGAAATTGTTGTGCGCAAGATAGCTTTATTATTTAGTTAGACTATGAAAAAATAATAGAAAGTAGTACCACAAAGCTCAAAGCTAAATATTGGCATAATGTGTTTAATATTAACAAAAAGTACATCATACATATAGATGTATTTTTTTTTGATGAAGTAAGTGATTTCAATAGATGGCATCCAGAAGATGCAAGAAGTACATGATTTGGCATTTGAGCTTACAAAAAATATTCCGGCTTCTATACTTAATTGGCTAAGCCAGACCTAAGGAACTAATGAAATCCAAAAGATGATCGATATTATTGATAGGGTAGAGTCTAGACCAAGTATACAAATTTGCAATACACACAGCCTTTAAAGAACCTATAGAAGTTGAGTTTCCATCAAAACATCTCTTGCTTCTCTGTCCAAATGCACCAGAAAATACAAGCAGGGACCATTGACCAGACCAGATTTTCATGATGGCTTCATCAACTCTCCATAAACTCCAGCTCTTATAAGAGTCCTTGACTGTGTAAGGGATGACCCATTTGAGACCAAAAAGGCAAAAAAACATGTACCATATGTCTGAGGCCACCTCAGAGTGTAGGAGCAAGTGGCAGGTACTTTCAGCTTTCTTTTGACACATATAGCATCTGTTAGGTAACTGGAAGTTCAGGTTATCTTGTGTGAGGCATGCCTCATATAATGCTGTCCAGGTGTAACAGATAACCTTTGGTGGCAGCTTGGTTCTCCAAATAAGTTTCCAGGGCCAGTTATCTATCATGGGATTACTAGAACACATCTGTTGATATCCCACCTATCTACATATAGATGTATGTAGATAGGTATAGATAGGTATAGATATCCCAGTTATCTACATATAGATGTATTTGCGGAACAAAATTGTGCAGGTACATTCTTAAGCTTGCTAGAAATACCAAAACAGTCAGATTGTTCATGTTCATGTTGGTGAGATTGGATAAAATCTTGAGTTTAGGAGCTGCAACTGACAACACATGCTTCATCTTGTTATTCACTGAAAGACAAGGAAAAGCACGCATTAGAAATAAAACATAGTATGCGAAGCTAAATCCATGATGATCTACAATAAAAGCAATGGCAAAGACAAAATATTAACATCAGAAAATATTGGTGAGGCGTAAAAGTGATAATTGAGAAAATTGAGTCAATGCAGGAAACAGAATCCCACGGTAGCAAAAATTTCAACATAATGATATTCTTATCTCATTAGCCAAGAAATTTCGAAAAAGCACAGAAATAATCTGGTTCAACATATACTTAACTTATTGTAAGATCAGCGGATACATGAGTCCAAAAATGCACGTTACTGCTCATATAAAGTAATTCTTCACCATGGTCATTAACATGGAAACAACAATATACGTAAGTGGCACATAAGCAAACGGGGAAATGTCATCTGATTCTAAAGTTATATCCAAAATTCAGTACCCAAAAGAAGACCAATATTTCATTGTCGCCATTGCAGAGGCAGCACATAATCATCAATTTAATTATAAACTAAACCAAATATCTGAAAAAGATTATTCAACAATGAAAATTAGAGTAATGCACCATCTTTATATGTAATAAGAAAGCTATCAATTGTAAGTTAGAAAACCTTATAACCCCTTTAAAAGGGTATAGAGAGAACAATTATACGTTATATACAACACCAGGAGGTGTTGCCAAATTTACAACACGGGAATATCTAATAGTCAAAGTATTGAGAAAATAGTATATGTTTTCTAAGTGAACAAAGATAATTCTCAAGTGTTCTGTAAAGAGAGAACAATTATACGTTATATACAACACCAGGAGGTGTTGCCAAATTTACAACACGGGAATATCTAATAGTCAAAGTATTGAGAAAATAGTATATGTTTTCTAAGTGAACAAAGATAATTCTCAAGTGTTCTGCTAATATTGAATTTTCTTCTTCTTTTTTCCCTTAGAGCAGATTCCAAAAGCATCGGATGAAAACACAAAACAGAAGAGTTGGACCTCACATTCAAGTTTTTATTCAGATGCAAAACTTTACTTGGGGGACTGATTTCAATTTCAATTTCTTAAAAAATAGTATTATTACATCTTAAGTCGAGGCATGATCGTCAGGAATGGCAATACTTGTGAAGAGTATATACAATAGTGTCAGTTTGAATGAGGTCATGAATGCATAGTGGAAGAGAACAAAGTAAATACTGGTCTTTACTAATGAAGAAGGACATCATGACATATGATGTAAAGCTTCCACACATCAAACAAAATTTCAAATATTTTGCTTGATTACGCTCAACATTCTAAAGAGTTTCATTTAACTTTGGGATGAAAAGTGTAGTAAAGCTCAATATGCAACAAAGAAGAACCTTTCAGATTCCCGGCTCAATTTGCTTTAAGAGTACTTTTTATTTTCTATCTTCTTCTTTATTCTGTTTTTAATTATTTTGGTTTTCCTAGAGATTTTTACTACACATTTAGAATTCAATTGATTTACATTCCCATCATGTTTTATCCAAAGAGGTACATCATGTAGAGCTTTTTAATACATAAAAATATTAAAGAATCCAGAATGTAAAGTTCCATTTTCTTCGTCGTCTCTAATTTGAAGTTTGTAGCAGTAATACAGTATTTTTTTTCTTCCTTTCTTTTTGCAAGATTTCTTGTTCTATGTTTAGTAGTCCATCAATTGAACACATATTAGTTACACTTGGAAGTTGCTCATGTTTGCAGGAAGCACGAGGCCTAGGAGAGCTAGTTTTTTGTTGAACCTTTTGGATGCCGCAATGCCATCCATTTTCACCGTAGGGAAAAAACAAAGGATATTGTAATGGGTCGTAGCAGCCATAGTAATAGTGAACTAGTTGGTTACTGTTACTATGGGTGTAGATACGAATATTGGGGGGTGTAGATAAAGAACATTCCAATTCTTCGTCAACCCATATAGCTGCGACTTCTGATACACTGGGTAAATTATATGTTCGCTGGTCCAAGGTAGAATCACACTTAAGTGCGATGTAGAAGTTAGATAAATCTGGAATGTCTGTCAAAGATTTCAGAAAGATAGAGTATGGATTAATTTTTAGAATGTTCATCAATTTTGCAATAACCGACCTGTCAAGTTTTTCTGAAAAGGCCATCTTGTTGACTACATCATCATCATTATCATAAAAATAAAGCTGTAAATTTCTGGCTTTGTTATCTCTAGGGGTGAGGTTATTTATAAAATGGTACATTTGTCCTTGAACTCTAAATGTATAGACACCTTGAGTTCTTTTTGCTAATTCCTTATCGTACTTTACTCCAAGTGAAGTAAATGCAAACATGTTGTATGTTCTAATATAAGTACGGAAATGATTGGATTCATCGTTCACGTCAAAGTAAAGGCTTTTTAACTCAGAAGGTAGGCGTTGTGAAACTAATTTTACTGAACCATTACTACAACAAAAGCTAGGAGTTTCATATTGAAATCTTCTAGCTCCGCAGAATTTACAATTCGGAACCCTCTTTAGAACGAAAGGACAACTGGGTAGCTGGTTGATATTCCAGCACCCCACCTGTGTTGAGGTGCGTCCTGCAACATTATAAGTACTTAAATTTTCATTATATGATCCTGATGCCGAGCCTGTAATATACAGGCAGCACCTCAAAATATGTTAACTATCTGAGGGTAGCCTAAAATGCCGGAAGTTAATGGAATATTACGGTTCAATTCAACCAACCATTTCGGGAAGAAGAAGGTATGTCTCGGATGAAGGTAGCAGCTTGTCCTGGAATCATCCTTTGAGATTCAAAAGAAGAATGACTTTGATCGGAAGGATTGGCGGAAAAAATTTCAGAAAGACGGCGCTTTCTCGCAACATATTCAGTCCGACGTCGCTCTAGAAGTGCTGCCTTTTTATCAGGTGGCATTTCTCTGTATGCGATACATCGCCTAAGGTTTCTTTCACTATTTTCGGCACGAAGATATGGATGGCCTGTCGTGTGATCAATTTGGTCTTCATCCATCTTTCTTTTGTTAGAAGACATCTGACTTGAACGCATTTCATATAGGCCTTTTGTTAAAGTCAAAAGTTTATAAGGGTAACATTTAATCTATTCCTATAGGTACACATATCTACATATCATAACACAAAACGTAAGGTAGACGCAAGTTGCATTGTAGCTAAACAGATAACGTTATAGATCAGAAGTTGCGAAAATTACCTGGTGTTGCAATACTGTTTTCACTTTTCCCCTAGAGCAAAGTTCACTCTCAAGAGCCTGGAAAATTAGAATTGAATAACCATTATATTCTAGCTGAATCGAGGAAACATATGCGATAATTTGCGGGGAAAATATGATATATTAGTATTGCTTGAGGTAAGTATCATGTGTGTATACAGTTGAAGGTAAAAGCAGACAGTGTTGTTTTCGGATGGAAAACCCATTCCCTTTTCTGTTTCTATTAGCTATAGAAGGATAGAAAGAATTACAAAACTTTTCACGAGTTGCAATTGGCAGATATAAATAAGAAGCTGCGAGGGACGTTGCGCCTCCAATTAAGATTCCAAAATTTGAAGTGCACCATCTGAAGAATATATTATAAATTAAAAGAAAGTTTACTTTACTTTCTCCAGCCGGCTTACTGTGAGGGAATTTTTGGAGTTGTAATTTCACTTTAAGACTTAAAATATTTTATAAAATCAAAATGGAAAGACTCTTCAAATTGATAAAGAGTTAGTATATAATGAAGTGGGGCTCTTGGAGTTATATAATCAGGCGCCTACAAATATTTTTTCAGTGAATGCTGGTTCTTTGGAATTCTTCTAAGGTAACAATTTAAGCAAACAAACCAATTCAGTGTAGTCGCAATCTCATAAGATATCGGAAAATACAATTTTGAGGAAAAAGAGAAGCCTAGTTGTAGAATTATTGACATGCATGTAAGCAATCAACAAAAAACTTCCCAAAAGATGGAGGGGTCCTTAATTTTATTCAACACAGCAGATATGAAGACCAAATTTGTAAGTAACCACTATAAATTAACTTTCACTATTCATCCCAAGACATAGCTAACACATGCAAGACATAGGATAACTCGATCAACATCAGGGAAGGCCAAATCTTAAAATTAGAAGATGAAAATTGGAATACATAAAGCATGAATAAAGCCACAAAAAAGAGGAAGACAAAGAACAATCCTGCAAAAATCGAAATAGACAAATGCTGGAAAAAAATTAAGGGAACACCCCATTATTCCAACAAAATTACTGGAAAAAAGAAAGAGGAGGAAGAAGAAGAAAGATTTTTAACAAGAATCATAAATAGAATAGCTAACACATGCAAGACATAGGATAACTCAGTCAAAATCAGGGAAGGCCAAATCCCAAAATTAGAAGATGAAAATTGGAACACATAAAGCATGAATAAAGCCACCAAAAATAGGAAGACGAAGAAAAATTCTACAAAAATCGAAATAGAGAAATGCTGGAAAATAAATTAAAGGGAACACCCCATTATTCCAACAAAATTTCTGAAAAAAAGAAGGAGGAGGAAAAAGAAGTCACCTAAGCTTTGCTGAAGACAGGTCATTGTTCCCGAAATATTAAACCATAAAAGAAAGAGGAGGAAGAAGAAGAATCCAGCCAAAATTTTAAGCAAGGAAATAAAATTATAAGAAGACATAAGAAGGTTTGAAGAAAGTTGGGAGAGTGTACCTTTTTCCAGTGAAGAAGATGAAGTGGCTGGACATTAGACAATGGAAAAATATAAAAGAAAGGCAATGAATGGTAAAGTAAGAAGTGGAGCACGTGGAGATCGAAAGGACCCATGCGGTACACTTTCAATGGGTCTTGTAATAATATAATAATGAGTCCAGATTCTAAAAATTATCCATGTATGAAATAACTAAAACACCCTGGGTCGTCCAAGGAATCTTTGCTTATTAATATGTTAATTACTATATACTAGAAATATATTACAAGTCAAAAATACATGATAAATACAAGAGTTGAATTCCCTTGACTTGAAACAAGACCTTGATCTAACCTATTTTTATAGAAGTAAAATTCTTTTAATAAAATCCATGTTTCTGGCTCCATCACTATTTGCATATTGCCCAAGTCTCCCACTAAATGTGTACTTACCCTTTCACGTTAGGTCCCCTCGATTCCGTTATTATTGACTTATGTCGTCAATACCAAATAACACTAGGCCAGGTCCATCCTTCTTTTTGGCGGATCATTATCCTGATCCAATACTTCGTGAGCAAAATTGAGGGGGTGTCGTTCACCCTCGACCATCTTATCTGATTATACCGTCCTCGACTTTTTCGAGGAGGGTTAATAAAACTTCAGCGTCGGGCTACGAATGCTCTGTTCTCGAGCATTGATGAGGACAGAGACCGGGGCTGGATGGGCAGGTTCGTTCGAGTGAGGACTTCGGACCTGATTCCGACCGAAAAGATACCTTTTCCCGAGGAGTGGAATATGAAACGTAAGTGTGATCCTGTTGTTGCTTCTATTTTGTTCTTTCATTACTTTTCTCATCGACACTCTTCTTTTTGTGATATAGCGGTTCCCTGGATGCCCGAAGCAGTTCCCGATCTCAAGAACTGGGTACGAGCTCTTGTTTCGACCTCCACATACGCCGAGCGCTCATGGCATGATTTGTCAAAGGGTCGGTGAGAGGCCAAAAATCATGGTAAGCCCCTTTCTCGTATTCTTTGATAATTCGAACGAGGTAGTTTCCGAATATTTTAATAAAATTCTCCATATGCAGGTCTGGGTAAAGATGTGGTTTTGAGGCCCTTGTCCAACAAGGAAGAAACTTTAGCCTCTGTCCCAAAGCCGGTGAAGGGAAATAAAAGGAAAAAAGCCATCGTTCCCGAAGATCCAAAATCAAAGAAGAGGACGGCTCGTAAGCCGAACAAGAATGCCATTCCTTTGATCGTGGAATCAGTTCTGTGTCTAAGGTATCAAGATGAAGAAGAAGAAGAAGAAAATGATGGGTCCGCGCTAGAGGCCCGAACGAAGAGAACCACCGATGCCCCATCGGCAGCTGGATCGATGATGCTTCATGAGGCTCCGCCTCAAATTGAGGATATACCGGAGAAAGATTCGGGTGGAATCCCTGAATTATCGGAGATCCAAGACTCATCTCATCAGAGCCAACGGATGGGGGATATGTCTGAAAGGGCCCTTGAATCCCTTCGAACCGAAGAGAATGCTCTAAGTGATTCATTTGGGGCAATATCAATCGAAGATTCGCCTACTTTTCCCGCTTTTTCTGAAGGGGTGATTCGGGAAGCCCAAGCTCTGGGGGCCCTCGGTCTAGAAAGGCCTCACGATGGAGAGGATCCCTTTCATGATCTATTTACTAGTATCGAGGACGTTGTCGGTACTGGTGATGAACCGGATTTTTTTCACGAGGTGCGGCAGGCTTTGAATCAGGTAAGCCTTGAAATTATTTTGTTGGTACTATCTTTATGTTTACTTTTCGTTAACTTCGTTTCTTGTTTCTTTGTAGGCAGCAGCAGTTCATCGAGAAACATGTTCTCGGTCCCAAAATGAGTTGCGTCGATACGAGGCCGACCTTCAACGGGTTACTGATGAGAGGAACTCCCTAACACTTCTCTTAGGGCAGAGAGAAGAGGAAATAAAAGACCTCCGAGCTGAGTTAGCCAAGGCTTATCGAGATCAGACCAACTTGTCTGAGCAGGTAATGATACTTTTAAAAGCCTATGGGCTTGATACCAGAACGATGGCTAAATTTTCGGTCTCACAGTTGCAGCAAAAAATTGAGATTATCGGGAAGCTTCGTAAGGAGGTCGACGTGATAAAAGCGGAGTCTTTGCAGTGGAAAGAAGGTATGGACCGCTTTGCTGTAGAGAAAGAAACAGCTAGAGCCTAGCTATCATCGGCCGAAACCCAACTTCAGAGAATGAAGGAAAAAGGCCTGGTTCAAGCAAGAAGAATAGATGAGCTCCAGGCTCGGTTGGCCTCTGTACTTGCCAAGGCCGAATCTGATGCCGAAAAGGCAAAGGCCGATGCGGATGCACTCGTGGCCGTTTATCAGGCCGATGCTGAAGCTGCCCAGGTCCAAGCAAGAGAGGCAGCCGAGACCGCCGATACTCGAGCATATTGGGTCGCCGAACTTGCTAAGTGCCAATCTCGGNGGGGAGCCCGATAGAGAAGAGACCGCTCCTGAGGATGACCAGAAAGCTTAGTCCTTAATTTTTACGTTGTAATCAATCATGTAGACAAATTTGTATATAGACAATTTTGCCGACTTGCTTCTGTTTTGTGAAGACTTTATTCATGCCTTATTAATGTTTTCGCAAGGATTTAAACAACTTAATCGAATTTGGACTTTGTAGCCTCTATAATCGAGCGAGTGCTTATTCAAACTTGAAGTGATGTACCCTTAGGCTTATTAGTTGAGTCAATTATTTGAGCTCGAGGAAATATAGCCCGTAGGCGTAATGGTCGAGTGAGTGCTTGCTCGAAATCGAAATAAAAGTAGCCTGTGGGCTTAGTAGTTGAGTGAATGATTCGAATTCGGAGTAATGTAGCCTGTAAGCATAATGGTCCAGTGAGTGCTTGCTCGAATTCGAAATAAAAGTAGCATGTAGGCTTAGTAGTCGAGTGAATGATTCGAACTAGATGTAATGTAGCTCATAGGCGCAATGGTAGAGTAAGTGCTTACTCAAAGAAATAAAAGTAGCTCATAGGCTTAGTAGTTGAGTGAATAATTCGAACTCGAAGTAATGTAGCCCATAGGCGTAATGGTCGAGTGAGTGCTTGCTCGAACTCAAAATAACAGTAGCTTGTAGGCTTAGTAGTCGAGTGAATGATTCGAACTCGATGTAACGTAGCCCGTAGGCGTAATGGCCGAGTGAGTGCTTGCTCGAACTCGAAATAAAAGTAGCATGTAGGCTTAGTAGTCGAGCAAATGATTCGAACTCGATGTAATGTAGCCCGTAGGCGTAATGGTCGAGTGAGTCTCGAAATAAAAGTAGCACGTACGCTTAGTAGTCGAGTGAATGATTCGAACTCGATGTAATGTAGCCCGTAGGCGTAATGGTCGACTGAGTGCTTGTTCGAACTCGAAATAAAAGTAGCCCGTAGGCTTAGTAGTCGAGTGAATGATTCGAACTCGATGTAATGTAGCCCGTAGGCGTAATGGTCGA